GCAGCCCCATCGCCGTCACCATCAGCCAGGCCGAGCTGGGCGATGCCAGCAGGGTGATCCTGACAGGGCCCGGCCTGAGAGAGGGGAGAACCTTCCAGCCCGCCCACTTCACCATCGACACCAGGGACGCAGGTACGGGGGGACTGGGGGGAACTGGGGGGGTCTGGGGGCACCTTCCAACCCCCATCGACACCAGGGACGCAGGTACGGGGGGACTGGGAGGAACTGGGGAATCCTGGGGGACTTCTGGGGGGCTCCTGGGGGTCCAAGGGGGTCCCTGCTGACCCTGCAGGGGGTTTGGGGGTCCCTGCTGACCCTGTGTCCCCTCCCCAGGGTACGGGGGTCTCAGCCTGTCCAAGGAGGGGGGTTTGGGGGTCCCAGGGGTCCCTGCTGACCCTGTGTCCCCCTCCCCAGGGTACGGGGGTCTCAGCCTGTCCATCGAGGGTCCCAGCAAGGTGGACATCACGACGGAGGAGCTGGAGGACGGGACGTGCCGCGTGTCCTACTGTCCCACCGAGCCCGGCAACTACATCATCTCCGTCAAGTTCGGCGACCAGCACGTGCCCGGTGGGCACCGCGGGCACTGGGAGGGCACTGGGAGGGACTGGGGGGGACTGGGAGGGACTGGGGGGGACTGGGAGGGACTGGGGGGGACTGGGAGCACGGGGAGGGACACTGGGAGGGACTGGGGGGGACTGGGGGCACTGGGAGGGACTGGGGGGACTGGGGGCATGGGAAGGGGCACTGGGGAGGAATGGGGAGCACTGGGAGGGGCACTGGGGGCACTGGGGAGGATGGGGAGGGGCACTGGGGACACTGGGAGGGGCAATGGGGAGCACTGGGAGGACAGAGAGGGGCACTGGGGAGGACTGGGAGGACTAGAGAAGGACTGGGAGGGACTGGGAGGGGCACTGGGGAGGAGGGAGAGGGGCACTGGAGACACTGGGAGGGGCACTGGGGAGGAATGGGGAGCACTGGGAGGGGCACTGGGGGCACTGGGGAGGATGGGGAGGGGCACTGGGAGGGACTGGGGGGGACTTGGGGGCACCGGGAGGACAGGGAGGACGAGAGCAGGACTGGGAGGGGGCACTGGGGAGGACGAGGAGGGGCACTGGGGGCACTGGCAGGATGGGGAGGGGCACTGGGAGGACAGGGAGGATGAGAGCAGGACTGGGAGTGACACTGGAGGCACTGGGAGGGGCACTGGGGAGGACTGGGGGCACTGGGGACACTGGGGGGTGTACTGGGATAAATGGAGTTACTGGGGCACAGTGGGAGCGAGCCAGGGGGGATTGGGGGGCACTGGGGGCTGGTTTGTGGGGTCCCAGGAGTGGTTTGGGGGTCCCATGAGGGGTTTGGGGTGGGGGGGTTTGGAGGTGTCCCAGGGGGGTTTGGAGGTGTCCCAGGAGGGGTTTGGGGGATGCTGGGTGGGGTGGGAGGTTTGAGGGTCCTGTGAGGGGTTTGGGGGCCCCCTGTGACCCCCCCTTTGCCCCCCCCAGGGAGCCCCTTCTCTGTGAAGGTGACGGGCGAGGGTCGGGTCCGCGAGAGCATCACGCGGCGCCGCAGGGCCCCCCCCGAGGCCACCGTGGGCTCCCCCTGCGACCTCAGCCTCAAAATGCCTGGTGAGGGGCCCCCCAATAACCCCCTGAGCCCCCCCTATAACCCCTTGAGTCCCCCTATAACCCTTTGAGCCCCCTAATGACCTCCTGAGCCCCCAATAATTCCCTGTGTCCCCAGTGACCCCTGAGCCCCCCAGTGACCCCCTGATCCCCCAATAACCCCCTGTCCCCCCAATAACCCCCTGTCCCCCCAATGACCCCCTGTCCCCCCAATAACCTCCTGAGCCCCCCAATAACCTCCTGAGCCTCCCAATAATCCCCTGTCCCTCCAATGACCCCCTGAGCCCCCCAAATAATCCTCTGTCCCCCCATAACCCCCTGTCCTCCCAGTGAACCCCTGAGCCCCTCAATAATTCCCTGAGCCCCCCAATGACCCCCTGATCCCCCCTATAACCCCCTGAGCCCCCCACTAACCCCCTGATCCCCCCAATAACCCCCCGTGTCCCCCCCCTGTTCCCCCCCAGAGCTGAGCGTGTCGGAGGTGTCCGCGCAGGTCTCGGGGCCCTCGGGGCAGGCGGTGCCGGCCCAGGTGGTGCCCGGGGACGCCCCGGGGGCCTTCGGGGTTCGCTTCGTGCCCCAGGAGACGGGACCCCACTCTGTGAGCGTCAAGGACCGCGGGCAGCACGTGCCAGGGAGCCCCTTCCAGTTCACCGTGGGACCCCTGGGCGAGGGCGGCGCCCACAAGGTCCGAGCAGGGGGACCGGGGCTGGAGAGAGCTGAGGCCGGAGTGCCAGGTGAGAGACCCAAAACGGCCCCAAAACTGAGCTGGGAGACCCCAAAAATGAGCTGGGACACCTCAGAAACAGTCAGGGCATCCTAAAAATGACCAGGGCATCCCAAAAACTGACCCTGGGCATCCCAAAAACTGACCCTGGGCATCCCAAACCTGCCCGGGGCTGGAGCGAGCCGAGGCCGGAGTGCCAGGTGAAAGACCCAAAACGACCCCAAAACTGAGCTGGGGGACCCCAAAACTGAGCTGGGACACCCCAAAACAGAGCTGGAGCACCCCAAAAATGACCTGGGGACTCTAAAATTGAGCTGGGGGCCAAAACCAGCCAGGGAATCCCAAAAACTGACCCCGGGCACACCAAACCTGCCCGGGGCTGGAGCGTGGGGTTCCAGGGCGGTTTTGGGGGTTCCGGGGTGGTTTTGAGGGTCCCAGATCCTTTTGGGGTGCCCTGACCCCCCCTTTTTCCCCCTCCCCAGCCGAGTTCAGCATCTGGGGGTGCAAAGCAGGGTCCGGAGGTCTCTCCATTGCCGTGGAGGGGCCAGGGGGGCTTTGGGGGGCTTCCCTTGGATTGGGGGGCTCAGGAGCAGTTTTGGGGGGTTCTGGGGCGGTTTTGGGGGTCTTAGCCCCTTTTGGGGTGCCCTGACCCCCCCTTTTCCCCCCTGCCCAGCCGAGTTCAGCATCTGAGTGTGCAAAGCAGGGTCTGGGTGGTCTCTCCATCGCTGTGGGATCAAGGGGTTCCGGGGCAGTTTGGGGGGTTCCGGGGCAGTTTGGGGGGTTCCAGGGCAGTTTAGGGGTTCAGGGGCAGTTTTGGAGGTTCTGGGGTGGTTTTGAGGGTCCCAGCCCCTTTTGGGGTGCCCTGACCCCCCTTTTCCCCCCTGCCCAGCCGAGTTCAGCATCTGGACGCGCGAGGCGGGGGCCGGGGGTCTCTCCATCGCCGTGGAGGGGCCCAGCAAGGCCGAGATCGCCTTCGAGGACCGCAAGGACGGATCCTGCGGGGTCTCCTACGTCGTGCAGGAACCCGGTGAGCATTTGGGGGGGCACGGGGGGGGTTCTGGGGTGATCTGGGGGTTATCTGGGGGTCTCTGTGCCCCCTTGACCCCACTGTCCCACAGGGTGGGTTCGGGGGGCTCCAGGACTCCCCTCAATCCTTCAGGGTGGGTTTGGGCGGCTCTGGGGGTCTTTGGGAGCTCTCCAGGGGTCTCTGGGGGTTTCTCTGTGTCCCCCCAACCCCACTGTCCCCCAGGGTGGGTTTGGGGGGCTCTAGGACTCCCCTCAATCCCTCAGGGTGGTTTTGGGGGTCTTTAGAGGTCTCTGTGCCCCTCCACAATCCTGCTGTTCCCCAGGGTGGGTTTGGGGGTCTCTGTGTGTCTCCAGGGGTCTCTGTGCCCCCCTGACCCCACTGTATCACAGGGTGGGTTTGGGGGGCTCTGGGACTCCCCTCAATCCCTCAGGGTGGGTTTGAGGGTCTCTGGGGGTCTCTGGGGGGGTCTCTGTGCCCCCCCTGACCCCACTGTCCTGCAGGGTGGGTTCAACAGGCTCTGGATGTTTCTGGGGGGCTCTGGGGGGTCTCCAGGGGTCTCTGTGCCCCCCTGACCCCGCTGTCCTACAGGATGGGCTCTGGGGCTCTGGGGAGGTTCTGGGGGTCTCTGTGGGGTCTCCGACCCTGCTGTCCCTCAGGGTGGGTTCAGGAGGTTCTGGGGGGTCTCTGGGGGTCTCTCTGTGCCCCCCTGACCCTGCTGTCCCTCAGGGTGGGTTCTGGGGCATCTCTGGGGGTCTCTGTGCCCCCCCTGACCCCTGCCGTGCCCCCAGGGCAGATTTGGGGGTCTCTGGGTGTCTCTGGGGGTCTCTGTGCCCCCCTGACCCCACCATGCCCCCAGGGTAGGTTTGGGCGTCTCTGGGTGTCTCTGGGGGTCCTTGGGGGTCTCCATGTCCCCCCTGGCCCTCCTGTCTCTCCAGGTGGGTTCAGGAGGTTCTGGGGGGTCTCCGGGGGTCTATGTGGGACTCCGGGGGTCTCTGTGGCCCCCCTGACCCCGCTGTCCCTCCGGGTGGGTTCAGGAGGTTCTGGGGGGTCTCTGTGGGGCTCTGTGGGGTCTCCGGGGGTCTCTGTGCCCCCCCTGACCCGGCCGTGCCCCCCCAGGGGACTACGAGGTGTCGGTGAAGTTCAACGAC